GAAACAATTTCTTTGAAATATTTGCTGTGTTTTAAGAAAGCAGATATTAGTGTATCTCTTTTTAATTGTCTCTGCTGCTGGTTTTAAAGATAGATTATGAAGAACTTGTTTTTAAAAAATTTTTGCGTCCAAGTTCATTTCTAGCAAATTGCTGTTATTACTTTTTTGATTGCCACCTAATTTGAAACAAAAAACTTTTTTTTTGTATTTTGTCCGGCTAGTTTAAAACCTGTATTGCAGCAAAATCCAAGCAGTATTTATTCAACCCTCGAAACAAATAAATAAAAAGATTTGATGTTGTTTGTTTCAAACTATTCAACAGGAAGGTCTGTCTCTTTGTATAGTTTTGGTTCATCTCTCTCCAAACCGGTAACATGTGTAGAAAACCAAAATTATTCTTCATAATTGGTTCAAGCATGAGTGGTTGAAAATTGTTTCGAGTTTTCCGAATTCCTATTGTTTGTTTTTGTGTTTAAATACAATCCACTGAATGTAAGACTACGGAAACAGTTTAACAAACTCAATGAAACAATTTCTTTGGAATATTTGCTGTGTTTTAAGAAAGCAGATATTAGTGTATCTCTTTTTAATTGTCTCTGCTGCTAATTTTAAAGATAGATAATGAAGAACTTGTTTTTAAAAAAAATACTTGCTTTCAAGTTTATTTCTAGCAAATTTCTGTTATTAATTTTCTGTACTGCAGCAAAATCTAAGCAGTATTTAATCAACCCTCGAAACAAATAAATAAAAAGTTTTGATGTTATTTGTTTCAAACTATTCAACAGGAAGGTCTGTCTCTTTGTATAGTTTTGGTTCATCTCTCTCCAAACCGGTAACATGTGTAAAAAACCAAAGTTATTCTTCATAATTGGTTCAAGCATGAGTGGTTGAAAATTGTTTCGAGTTTGCCGAATTCCTATTGTTTGTTTTTGTGTTTAAATACAATCCACTGAATGTACTACGGAAACAGTTTAACAAACTCAATGAAACAATTTCTTTGGAATATTTGCTGTGTTTTAAGAAAGCAGATATTAGTGTATCTCTTTTTAATTGTCTCTGCTGCTGGTTTTAAAGATAGATTATGAAGAACTTGTTTTTAAAAAAATATTTGCGTTCAAGTTTATTTCTAGCAAATTTCTGTTATTAATTTTTTGATTGCTACCTAATTTGAAACAAAAATTTCAAACAAAATACCTAGTTTTTTTTGTATTTTGTCCGGTTAGTTTAAAACCTGTACTGCAATAAAATCCAAGCAAAATTTAATCAACCCACGAAACAAATAAGTGAAAAGATTTGATGTTGTTTGTTTCAAACTATTCAATAGGAAGGTCTGTCTCTTTGTATAGTCTTGGTTCATCTCTCTCCAAATCGGTAACAAGTGTAAAAAACCAAAATTACTCTTCATAATTGGCTCAAGCATCGGATTCTTTCAACAAAAATTTACAACAGCTACAAACAGATAAGCGACATAAATGTCAGATAAAAAGTTGTGATAAATCATTTTAACAACCTTTCCCAATTTCGGTTGCACGGTCTAAAACTTTTCTTCTGAAGCCATCAAGTCTGCTGAAAACTATTTATTATGCTTGAAATATAGTTCTTTATCAGAACGGAAATCGCATACAACTCGAATTTAGGTAACTTTTTTCTAAACGCGAGGATTAATTATCTCTAAGAGTAATTATAAGTTCTTTTCAAAAATTTTAAATTAGTAAATAACTTCTGACGTAAGACGCATGCTCCTGATAAGTTTAATTTTAAAAAGTTTTCATTGCTAATTTTATGCAATTAATTTATCAAATCTTGCTTCCTCAGTTTTAGTAGTTTTTTGTTTCAGATTGTTCTCAAAAGACGAAAACACTGAGCGTGCGAACTTCAAACGCTGAAACAAAATTTAACGTTTCGACAAGTTTAAATTTTATAATGATTTTTGCGAAGGTGTGAACAAAAAATTTCGTTTTGTTTTCAATTATTTTTTTTTTTGATATTTTTCTCTAAAATAGTTCAAATTGCACTTCTAATGTAAACACAGGTTTACTTTAGAAACGATAAAGTGTCGAAGTTTTAGCCAAGAAGGATTAATAGAAAATTTGCGATTTTCAACTGCCACGTTTTAACCATTTCAAAGAAGACTCGTACGTGGTCAGTTTAAATATCATGATGCTGTTTTTGTAGCTATAATTTTTTTTTCAGAATTCTAGATTACAGCTGAAAACGTTTCCAATATAAAAAATTTCAAAAGGTTTTTAAGACGTTCTCAGATCTCACTGAATCTAGGAGCAACCCCAAAGGAATAAAACATTTTATGGGAGTTTTATTCGGCTACTACATCTTGTTGATTTTTACTGAACTTTGTTCATTCAAAATTTTTACAATTAAAAAGTCTCTGAGGTAAAACGAGGTAAGACTTTTTCTAAGTTTTGTTTTAGAAGTCTTGAGCAAAAAGTTTATAAAATAGTTTCCTCCATTTTCTTTTACATAGCTTCTGGTTTTTTATTTTTTTAAATGATCAAAAAATGAGCAAATGATTTGCAAATAATCTAAATAAAAATTGACTTTGTTTTTGAAATGTTTTTCAAAGATGTAAGCAAAAAACTTGTTTTCATTTTATTTTTAGTTTTTTTTTCGTAGGTGGTCCATTAAACATAATAATGATGCTCTTTTAGTTCTGGTTCGGATTTTATGGGATTCTAGATTACAGCCAAAATTTTATTCAATAGTATTGTTCTTTGGGCTAACTTAAGCTAATAAGATCGACATTATATATAAATTTAATTTTAATTGCTTACAAAAAATGATTAGACAAAAATTTTTTATTGTGTAAGCTCCAGGCGTTTGGAGCTCAGCTTAATTGGGCCGCACTGTGACAGTGAAGTGGCCATTTTTGTTGTGATATTTGTATTCTCTTAGTTTATTTCATGTAGACTGAAAATAAGTTCACGCATTTTTTCGCTTTTGAAACTCAATTCATGCAAATGGTTCTACAATTTTCTTGAATCAAGTGTTTTTCGGCCTTTTTTTGGCTTTTTTAAGTGAATGAGTATTCTTTGATAAAAGGTTGATAAATTTGGTGTTAGTTTTGTCTTCCTGCTCAAAAAGTTTGTACAATACAAAAATTTCCGACATAAAGCGAATGGTCCTAATAAGTTCAAGTTTATAATCAACTCGTTGTTAACCTTGTGCAAATTGGTGATCAATAAACTTTTCTCCATTTTTGTTCCGACTTTTGTAACGAAAGTAACGGAATATTTGTGCTCGGGGTGGGTTTTTTTTCTTCAGACAAATTTCGACTTTTTAACTTTTTTTCATCATTTGAAAGCTATTGTTACCCTTAGCTTAAATTTGAAAAGATATTTCACCTGTGATCTTTTTTTGTAAAGTTATGGGGGTTTAAATAAAGCCATTTTGGCCATTTTGGCTAATTTGGGACAATTAACGCGCGATATGTTTCGCACTATTAACGCGTAAGCGAGATTAAATCCGTCTTAAAAATCGATCCAAATTGGTTCAAGTAAGATTATATGCCATAATTGATTTGTTATTAGGAGCAAAATTTATCACTTTGTACTTAATATGGTGTATAGGGGGGTGTTTTCACACAAAAAATCTCAAAGTTTCTGGAAAAAAAAATTAATTTTAATTTATTACATTTAATTTTTCCATGTTATTACTGGCTCCATAGACCTTAGAAGGCAGTCGGAACATTCAGAGTTTCGGCCTGACACGTGCAGTCTTGTTAATCATTGCTTCTAGTTTCTGATTTCTCTCGAACACCATGAACTGAGCGACTGAATTGCAAACAATGTAAATAAGTTTCGACTTTGTTATTGAAATTTTTTTGACGGTGTAAACAAAACCCTTGTGTTTTTGTTTTTGCCAGGTTTTGTCCTTAAATAATTCAACTTGCTTCTCTAGTGTATATTTTCTAAAAGGTCCTTTGGCGCCAATTATATATACTAATTTTGAGGGGGGAGCGCGCGCTGAAAAAACGCATTTTTTTGGTCTAAATTTTCAAAAAAGTGCCTAAAAACGCCTTTTTTGGACTGTTTGTTTTTTGTTTTAAAACTATGCCTGCGGCGCAGAAAATTTGACCAAAACAGGGACTAAACCATGCTTAGGGAGAGCTCAAAAAATCAATTTGGACGACCTAAAAAAAAAGGTCGACAAAATTTTCGAAATTTTTTTTTGATTGTCCGCCTGTCCCCCTCGAGAAAATCCTAGATCCGCCGCTGAAATGAAGTATACTACTGATGCCGTTTTAGTTGTGATTCGCAAGATTTCAGGATTCCAGATCGCAGCCGAATGTATTTTGTAATAGGAAATCTTCTTTGGGCTAACTAAAACTAGGGAGAACCGCAACAGAGCAAAAAATGATTTTCATCTCTTACGGCAAGTTAGCTAGACAAAATCACTTTTGTTGATTTTTCTCCGGGCGTTCAGAACCGATCTCAATCGCGGCAGACAGAAGTTGAAGGTCTATTGTTTTGCTGTTTGTCTTCTCTAGGTTGATTCCATATAGATATAATTCATATTAGCTATTTCATTACATCTTCTTCTGTTTTGGAAATAACTTGGACAAGAGGAATAATTTTTTGCTTCCCTTTTCAGTCTCTTTTCATTTTATTTTGAGTGCTGAGTCTAGAGTGCTGCGTCTAAGTTGAAAAAAGTCATCAGAAGACGGTGGAATCAATTAAAAAGAAACCCATTCTACTGTTTTCTGTTTTGAAAGATCTTCTATTCTCATGTTCGCCTAGTCTAAATAAATCATATCTAATTCAGATGCCACATGAAAGGAATCAACTGAGATTTCAATCTTTTATTGATATAAAACTCATAATTTTCCTCCAGAGCTTATTATACTCGGTCAACCTTTTAGTTGTTAAATTAGCTCTACCTCTCCTAAATTTACCTTTCAGCAAGCACTTCGACCCTTCTTGAAAATAGCCAAGAGAGCTCTTTTACCGGGCGTCGGAGGTCAAATCGTTAAAATATAACCCCTGGGATTTTATGAGGTGTTAAGTGGAATTAAGTTGAAACCAAGTTTTAATACCCACAAAAGTCAATATTTGGCACATAAAAACAGTTCTTCAAAATTTAGGTTGACTACAATTTAGCCAGTTGAAAAACTTAGATCGATTCCGTAATTTTTTGTAGCTACATTAGAATTTTTCTAACAATTTGTTTCCATTGGTTAATTTAAGTTCCAAATTGTCAATGTGGTCGACTAACATTTTTCCTCGGAAAATTGACGGCCAATATTCATTCATGCAAGGTAATTTGTAACAGTAATACGGAATTTAATTCCCAATTTCCTGTATTTTGGAAGGAAATGTGAGCAATGTTACAAACTTATCAGCCGGCCTAAATCTTCACGTGAAAGGATATACTATTTCCGGAATTAACCAATCGAATCATTCTCTTCGAAAAATTAACAATTAAGTTTAATATATTGAAAAATTTAATATTTCCTAATACTTCTTGAGAACGATGAACAATTAGTTGAAATTACTCTTTCAAGTATTACGGCCAGAGCCACTTTTACAGCACGTGTTTTCAAACTCTGGACAATTATAGCACATTTGGTAAATATTTTCAGGGTATTTGGTGACAATTTCGCTCAAAAGTTGAACGAAACTGCCAATTTTCCCTGTTATCCCTGTCTTGACAGACAAAAAGGTAGAGACTTTACTTAAAATTCCGCCTATTTTTTTTTCAAATTGCTCTCCTATCGTTATTTCTTCTGTTTTTCTTGCTCTTCTGCCCTGAAGGCGAAAACACCAACCCGAGCTAACAAGGTCACTTTTATTCGGTACCTGCTTTTTACCCCCTCCCCTTTCCAGCCCGATAGTTCGCTGCTATTTCCCCTCTCCTGTGATGAAATTTGGTTACCCATATAACAATTGCCCAAATTAGGACTTATCCCTTGCGAGTGGTTTTAAGAATATTCAGAAAGGCCTTTCTTATTGGGATTGATTTAAATTATTAGCTAGCTCTACATTTCAATTTACAGAGGAATCTCTATTAATTTACTGCAAAAAAAACTATTTTATCTTTTTCGGGCAGTGTTTGTTCATTATTCTTCAAAATTTTCTCAAGCTTGGAAACATCTTGATCACTTCTTTCTCCGAAGCTCAATCTAAAATATATCTAAAACCCAAAAGGTAAATAGTTTTCTGAACTTTTCTTGAAAGATATCAAAAATAGGATTCTTGTCTGACTAAATTTACGCTGAATTTTTCTCGCTAGCAAATTTGACGCGGCCATTAACGCTGGTTTTTTATGCTCAAAGAGCTCCTCTAAATCTTTGTCAGAGAAATTTTTGTTTGAGTAGTAAATACTTTAAAGTATTTATGTTAATATTTTCAATGTTTATGATTCATATAAGGTTTTCGAGAATTTTTTACGGAAGTTTAGGAGAAAAAATTTTTTGCCTATTTTTTTAATAATGAAACTGTTTTTGCATAGTGCTATAACCAATACAACTAGTAATTTACAAAATCTAAATAGTTATTTGAGAATGCTAAAAGTTGTAATTAGAAAAAAAAGTATCGATCACTAAAACTGAAAACTTAACACAATATTCATCTGTGATTTTTCTAAACAAAATTGTAAGAGTTTGAAACTTGCTAATTTTACAAATTCGCGGAATTCTTAACGCAAGCGTAAGTATCAAAATTAACTGCTTCAAAAATCATTTCAAATTGAAATAAGGCAATTTTTTTTTGGTTCAAATGCGGCATTACTAACTGACAGACAAAACCCTTAAGACAGTGCGTGTGATGAAAAAATTGCCGAAGTTTTTCATTTTTATAAAGTGCAGTTCTTTAAGTATTATTACATCCAGGATGAGGGAAAGAGTTCACGTAAATCGCCATTCACCACTTAATCTATTGACATGCGTCCAGACAATGCGGCCAAAGACAATTCAGCCGATTTGAAATTCAGACAATTCAGCCAAAAGTATGCGGACAATTCAGCCACAGACAATTCAGCCAATAATAGTGACCGCCGCAGTCGCGCCAACGTGTTGCGAGCTTGCCAACAGAGGGTAGAACTCTATACGAAATTTCGAGCCGGTTATCGCCGCGAAGCGGCGACGCGCGCATAGCGCGCCCACCGGCTATCTTAAACCGAGAAATAACTCCAATAATTCCGATTTTTTTTTCCTTCGAATCTAGCGTTATGTAAAACTGGCTGAATTGTCTCAGGCTGAATTGTCTCAGGCTGAATTGTCTGTATGTTTTTGGCTGAATTGTCTGAATTTCAAATTGGCTGAATTGTCTTTGGCCGAATTGTCTGTGCGCCTATTGATACAATTTTCTGCCTTTTACAAATTGTCGCCTCACGAGGTAACTTAGCAAATTTTGACCAAATTACGTTATATAATGCATAAAATGATGAAAACTTATAAAGTTTAGAGTTCTAGGCAGAGAAAAGTTTCCAAAAAGTTTGTGTTTGTTGTATCTTGAGGATGGCAAACTAAAAAATCAAAAGATTGAGCGCAGTTACAACTTTGAAGGTAATTTCAATTCTCATAAAGATTAAAAAAAGCATTTTATCATTTTTAATTGGCGATAATTTAATTTTAAAATTATAAAAATTCCAGTAAATATATGCTTTCTGAAATTCATCTGCCAATTTTATTCGGATACTTCAAGGTAATATCAGTAACACAGCTAATAGAAGATTTTTTTCAAAGCTTGTGCCATCTTTTTGTGCCCCCTATCTATTTATATCAAGATAAGATCTTCTATCCCAGCGTTCAATTCAGATTAAACATGCTAAGCGCTGAATGTAAATTGTTTGACTCTGATTGGCTGAAGCTTTGCACTTAGAACCAAGTTCACATCACCCCAAACTTATTTGAGGAAGATGTTGTCTTGGTGCTATGATTTCTTTCAGAACGAGTTGCCTCTGGCAATTGTTTTTGATTTGTATTAATTGACAATAAGTGTTTTTGGAGATTCTCATGATGAAGGGGCCAAATTATAGAAAAATTTCAATCAATCAGATTTTTCAAAAACTGTTAGAATTTCTTATTTGCTGAATGACTTATGCAGAGAACTGCATCAAAAATTAGCACTCGTGAATTTCTTGAACTGTAGAGTCGGCACTTCGCGCTAATCACTGTGTTTTCACACAACCTATTAGCCCGACGGCAGAATCTAATGGCTTTTATTCGGCCAATATTGAAAACAAAACCCCGAAAAAATTGTTTTTTTTGTAGGATTCTGCAACCTTTGAATGCTCAGTGTTAACTAGGTAGTTGATATTTTTCCTTCTTTAGGAAAAATTTCGTTGGTTTTGCTGGATAAACAATATTCAAAAGTCAAGAAAAAAAAACTCGTTTTTTTCATGAATACATCCTTGATTTTTCAACATGTCGAACTCAGTTTCTCAAATGAGGTTATTCGAAAATTCAAACAAGATTGCTCGTATATCGAGACAAAACCGTGAACCTTCCGATTGACCCTTAATTAGTCTCGAATAGTTGAGTAGGCTAAATATGAACAACTATAGTTGGCCTCATTTCAATTTGGAACAATTATGATTGCAGATACTTCGCCATGCATAAAAAATTAGCGGGGCTAAGAAATCAAACGACACGCAAATTAGACGATCCGTATGTGGCTGAATATTAGCAACTTTTGCGTACAAACTGCGTAGAGGTTAATCACAGACTTAAATTATTTTCTAATCAAGTAAAAACTGGTGTTCCAAGCGGAAATCAAGTTTTTATGTCACAATTCAGAAAAAACTAAACTTTTTTGATTAAATGTTTTATAATAAATGGATAATACTCGCTTCTGTGATATTATACTCTTTTTTTCTGTGCAACTTTATTCTAATTTAATGATTTTGTTGATCAGTTTTTGTCTAAAATCACAAAGGGTTGTCGTCAAAATTCAGTTGACTTACGATTGTCTAGTTTGCATGCCGTCTGATTTCATGGGCTCCTTAATTAGCGCATTGAAGCTATGAAGTATTATTTGATCAGCTATGCCGTCCTTATTCTTATCTAGTGGGTGCATAGTCGCTTGGCAGTCGAAAGGTTTAAGAAACGATACCCATACACCGTCAACTTAGTAATAATGGTCTGAATAAAAGAACACCCCAGGCTGATATATTCCTCAATTCGTCCGAAAGTCGGATTAAAAATGTAGCTTTCTTTCGGAAACTGTCACGACGTGATGTGTTTGTTTCAAACGGATGCATTTTGCCACTAGAAAATTTTTGGGACCGCCTATTAGCATGTGTGTCGATAAGCATACCCATCTAAACGAATGAAGGTTAGAAATTCGCTTTTTCAAGCTTCTTTTAGTCAAATTAGTTATTTTGAACAGGGTCTGTTTAGCCAATTTTTCAATCGGGTGACGGTAAAATTTTAACTCTCTTAATAATTCAAGTGATTTTTGAAATTATTAGAATTTTCAGGCTAGTTTGTTTTTCGTCTGTAAGTACATCTAGTTAAAACTATTATCGCATGCTAAAAGGCACACATGCTGATGAACTAAATTGAACATGCATTTGCCTTCTCAAAAGAAAAAAATGGCCATTTCTAAACCTGTTAGCTTAAAACAAATGATTGTAAAACATGTTCTAACTTTCGAGGTTTGCAGAAAAAACAAAAATTTGACTGGAGAAAAACATCACAGAGCACAAACTAGTCTACTTTTTTATCAGGGCAAAGCCTTGAACGTTCCAACTGCCCCTAAACCCATATCGAATAGTTTTTCGGAAAAGTAAAACACTGAAAATCTGTAAGTTTTGGACAATATCAAAGGTTAAAGGTGAAAGTTTGAGTCGTACGAAACTAATACGACCGATTAGCTAGCCTCAATTCAATTTGAAATAATTTTGCTCTGGGGGATAAATGGCCATGCAAAATTAATTCTCGTTACAATCTCAGCATTATGAATAAACTCTTCAAAGCACGCATAATATGTTCCAGAACCTCGCCAAATTGGCAAGTTTCTAAAATTTCTAAAACAGTAAAATTTGGAGCAACATGTTTTTTTTTACATTTGAACTCCGGAAAACCATGTCTTCAATAAGCTCATTTTTTTGTTAAAAATATTATTTTGAACGCCGAAAACTGACTGAATAATAAGAAAACCACAACACGCATAACATAAATATTCCGTTTTCTTCGAAAGTCGGAACAATAATCCATCAATTTGCAAAAACCTGTATATCTCAAGTTATCTCAAGTTATCTCATGTTATCTCAAGTTCTTTTGATAGCTTAGGTTGGCATCATTTTCTTGACATAGAATTTTAAAATTAATTTCCGTTCCTCATTGACTTTTATCCAACTTTATATTAGAGAATTATAAATATCAGATGATTTTGTTTTTTTAGCAAAAATTTTGTCAAAGATCAAAAAAATCAGAAAACTTCTGCCAATTGACCAGAATATGACCTCTTCTTCTGCAAAAAATTATTTTCTATCCAATTGAGTTTCAGTTTGTAAATTTAACAAGACTGCTTGTATGAGGGCGAAGCTTTGACTGTTCCGACTGTCTTTTAAGGCCTATGGAGTAGTGCTCATTTTTGAAAAACGTTTGAAATTTAAAAAATAGTGCTATTTTTTTAATAGATTTTGAGATTTTTTGTTCGAAAAATTATCTCCTCAGACGTTGCGTGAAATACAATTACAAAAAGATATATTTCGCTATCAGCAAATTTTGTTATGCACCAAAAAGCAATCTTGTTCGATTTGAGGCATTTTTTAAGACTGACTAAATCTCCGCTCACGCGTTAATAGCTCGAAAATATTGCACGTTACTTGTCATAGATTAGCCAAATTGGCAATTTTACAGAAAGTGATCTATATGATATATATGACAAAAAATTTTGAATTGGAGCGCAAACAGCCCATTATCCTTTGAATGATAAAAAACAACTCTCTCAGAAATCTATTCTTGAAAGTCGTCCGTCAATTTCTTCTAAAGTCGGAACATTTAGCCGAAAATACGAAATGATTAAATAGTCGGATTACAAATTGTCAGTCTTTGCCTGTAAAATTTTTTCACTTCAAATTAATCAATCAAATAAACGCTTAATTTTAAGTTTTTGAATTTTTTTTTTCTAAATCTTAGTTAATCTTCTAATGATAAAGTGTGTTTGTTTTTTTTTGAGTCAAGACTCTTTTGGATGACTTTCAAAAAATTGTTCAGTTTCTGAAACAATAACTAGAGCAAGGATTAAAGCAAATAAGTTAAAAATTTTTCGTAGTTTGGATATGGTTCCATTGGCTGTTTTGAGAAAAACTTGTCAATTCTTAGCATCAAGGTTTTTTTCAAAAAGTACTAATCAATTCGTTAACTTTAAAAACTATCAATTATTTGGTTGCTAAAAATGTTTTACTGCAAAGTTTTGATAAAAAAATTAGATAAGAATGAAGACTGCTCGTGTATCGCTGCCACACCCTGAGTGTTGTTACTGCTTTTTCAGGCCAATCAAAAAATTTACCTGAAAAATTGACAGAATAAAAAAATGTATATAACTTTTTTATCTCCCTTCCATGCTATGAAATTACCAAGGGATGTAGTTAGCGTTTTCTAGCTCTATAATAAGACCAAATGACAAGCTCTAATCCAATTTGGAGCGATTTAATACGACAATTAGGCTTGTTGCAGGAACTTAAAATATCGCATGTTATTTAACGCAAATTGGCAATTTGATCAAGTTTCAAACCCATTTTTTTGAGATTTGGACAACGCTGCTTTTTAGATGGTAGAAATATCAGCCAAAAAGTTTTTACAGACTATTATAGTAGTGAAGAGTGGTAAAAACTGATGTTTTTTTAGACTGAATTTCCATTTTAAAAGCGTTGGAGGAAACTGTTACTATTGTTTTTGAGTAAAAAGAATTTTTTTTTCGATTGTTCATTTAAACTGTATAATTTCAAAAAATTAATCATTAAAAACTGTGCCACTTACTCTGCAATCTTTTTTTTCTGTTCCAAATTCCAGGCTAAATTTGAAACTTTGTCTTTGCTTGAATAGTTAAAAAATGAAAGAAAAAAATGAATTATGTATAGGAGTTGTTTCAACGGATGTTCGATGGCTAAAAGCTGGCCATTTATCACGTCTTGCCCCCTTTGCATTGAACTAAAGATTAAAAAAACATCTTTCAACTTTCAATTTTATTTGTACCAAAAAACCATTACAAATTTTTATAATTATTTTTTTTGCCATGGTATTCTATTTTTTGGGGGGAGGTTCAAGGGGAGGAATGATACTTAAAAACATAGCCTTCTGCTCAGTTATAACTTTGCTCCTCTTTTGCTTGTTCTGAATAAAAACAAAGGTTATTCTGCAAAGGTTTTTCATGGAATCGAAAAAATTTTTCAAGGTTTTTGAAAACAAAGTAACATCTGGAAAAATGCATATAAAAAATTGTTAAACCTGCCAAAGGTTCTGATGGGGCAGATGAAACCCTGTCAAAAACTAATTCTTAAAAATTGAAAGAAAATTCGTTTTGTTAAAAATTTTCTAGATTTCGGGAAAAACAATTGCAGTTAAGAAATTTCTTTTAAAACTCCATTGTACGCTCATTTCTCTCTGATACACGGCTGTTCATTTGAGTGATTGCAGTCATTTTACTTTTATGCGCGCCCTATCTAGAGCATTTCCAGTGAATATTGTGGTTTTTCGTTTCTTGCTTTTTTTCTGATTTCATGTCCACCGAGTCAAGCGTTTTTGCGGTTTTGTTAAAGTAGTGGCGAGGTAATATAGCTGATTGGGTTTTTTTCTGTAATTAATTAAATCACATGCTTCAATTTTTGCATGTATCGTTGTATCTCTATGCCACAATACGGAATTAAAACATGTTAATTGTGCTAAATGCATGCGTTCTGCTCGAACTTTTCAATCAACTCTTTAAAGTGCTTAATTTTATATCGATACTAAATCATTGCCAGTACTAAAAAATTCTAACACCTCCATGTAAGTCTCTAAAATTAAAGGTGGGTTAATTTAGCATACGGTAGATTGGCTTAAGGTAGATTGACTTAGGGTAGATATGAACATAGGGTAGAACGGCATTGGATAAAATGACACAGGGTAGATTGGGATAGGGTATATTGTCCTGCTACTACACAAAGCAATCCTGAAACAATTGAATTTTTTCTTGTTGTAAGCAAATGGCAAGCAGTCTTAAGTTTCAAATTTAGAGCGCTCCGGAAACTCAGTGCCTATCTTTACAATGGTATTCTGCATTCATGTCTTCAAATTTTAGTTACTTTTTCAAAATAGAATTCATAAATCTAGATTTTAATTAAAAAATGTAATAATTGACAAAAGCTCAGGAGTTTTTTTGTATTATTATAAATCTAAGCTAGATCGTCGAGCAGCGATTGATTGGAAGCAATAATTGGCTACAAACGACAATTCATAGCGCGAAAAGATGTTAGAAATTGTCACAAAACAAATTACTAGAAGAAATTGAGAGATTATTGGAAATAAATTGGTTTATTCAGAGCACTGCAATCAACCGTTCGACCAATAACGGTTGACAGGTTAGACATGGATTGTGTCTGGGAACTAATGAACTGATGACCCTGACTAAATTGCCTTTCGATTGTTTTTTTTTGGTTTTCCCAAACTCAACGGAATATTGCTTGCGATCGATTATAGACGGTCCATCTAGGTTGCAGTGACTTTGAGGTTCTTTAGAAGAAAAAGAACCGTTAGTTGGTTGTAATAGTAGAATAAGCTTTCAAATGCAAAACTACCCTATTTTTCATTAATAAACTTCATACTTTTTTCAGTTCGTAATACAACTTTTAGCTGTGTTTTACCTTTTGTTTTTGAAAAAGCATCTTTAAATTAAATTATGCATTTGAAATATTTTTTTTGTTAAGGTGGAGTCGATTTGTATTAGCGCTCAGGTCATTAATTTTAATTATTGGAACTCTGGTTTTGAAGCTCTTTTTACGATAATGATACCAGATTCGGTATTTTTGTGGCAGTTATTCAAGGATGGTAGCGCATTTTTTATCACTTGTTGAAAAGTGTTCAGGGTCCAAACAAAGTACTCAAATTAATTATAAAACAAACAAACCAAAAAAAGTATAAATAAAATTCTCCGAGTAATCAGATCTTCGGGGATTAAAATTTCATTCAAGAGAGAGAGTGTGTTTTTTCAGTTCAAAATCATTCAAGAGTATGACGAATTTTCCGAGTAAAATTGTTCATAGAGACTAAGATATCGATTGTAAAACTGTGATTTTCGTGAAGCAGCCTGATCTCATTTAATGCTATCTTAATCCCTGTCTACATAAGCACACAAAAGGGCTTTTTCGCCAAATTTAATTGACATCCATGTCTGCATAAGTACACAAAGAGCTTTTTCGCCAAATTTAAACGACAAAATTAAATTTTGGCATAAAATTTCCTTTTTCAAACTACCAGTGTAATTCATTTTTCAGTCAAAAAGCTCAGATTTCAGATTATTATACCATATCACGAAAAAATTATTATAAAACATCCTAAAATGAGAATTGCTTATTTAAATGAAATAGATATCATTTGTCAATGACGCAGCTCCTTTTTTATATACGGTAAAATTGAAAACAGCAAACTGCATGGGGGAAAAATCTTATTTACGACTACTTTATTAGTTAATCTTTCCAAAATTTTAAGCTTTTCGGTTATAATTCACAGTTTTTGCGTCTTTGCCTAGAGGCTGAATAATTAGAAAATTTCATCTTAAATTTTTTAACAAGGATAATACTATTTTTAGAACTCAGCGATCCGTCTGAAGTTTAGTGTCGTCAAACCCAGTCCCAGGTATCTTTATAACATCGGCCATCTAAGGTTACCATTTCAGTTATATAAATCTTTCTTGCGCTCCAGTTTACTTTTTCTTTCCATTAACTATCTCTTCATTTTTAAATGTGAATAATTATTCAAGAATTTCACAGTTATTAAAGAAAAGCTTCCTAGCCATTTTTATTATACTCCTGCTGCCAAAATGGGGCAGAAATTCAATTCAATGTTAACACTACTTACTAAATTCATCTTGCTTCTTCTTACTTCGCCCTCTTTCGGAGAAGAGTTCTCTCGTCCTCCTAGTACAATTCTGGATGACCCTGCCCACAGCTCCCTAAGCCCAGCAGCCCGCCTGGAGGCATATCTGTTCAGCAATTACTCCACCATTTCGAGGCCAGTGCTAGACAACAGCAAACCAGTTGATGTCAACTTTGACCTCATCCTCAACCAGGTCCTCAAAGTGGTGAGTCATCGTTCAGACATGTTTTTTCATGCATTTCTACTTTTTATTCGTATAAATATCGATCCTTTTCATATGTTTCCGGTCTGAACAAAGTTTAAAATGAAACAAACTAATCGTATATCAGGGCAACACCCTGAATGTTTCGACTGCTGTTTAATTATTCTCGTTACCACTATCATAGGGGGAAACTTTGGGTCGGCAGGGGGCCGGCAGAGTGTCGGTAGGAAGTGCGCTCGTTCTTAAATTTACCGTTCTTACATGTGAAACTGATGTAATTGCCTACTTGGAACCTGTCTATCATAAAAGTACCATTAGTTTTTTATGTTTTCTGTAAAAAAAAAATCGATAAATTATGAATTTTTGGATGTTAACATCAAGCATTAATTGTTAAAATTGGGCAAAGAAAAAATTTGACCATAATCGTAATAGCAATTCGGCATAGTTTTGACTGCGAGATGATGATTCGTCTTAAACTCTTTCAGCGTCGGCCTTCGAAGTTTTAAAAGAACAGTTTGAATAGGCTCAAGCAAACACATTAAGTTAGCTGTAGACAGGACTTTTTGCGGCGAAAATACTCGAACTAAAATAAAAAAATTGCAGTTTTTGCTTTGACCCTTGAGATTTAGGGTCAAAATTTTTTTATTACTTGCTCATCAAATAGTTTGTCTTTTTCAAAATACTAGTTTACACTTTTTCACAATCTAATTGTCTGACCACCAAAACAAAAAACACCAGATAACGTCGACTGATGTATCATTTTGAATCCTTTTCAGTCGTGATTTTTATGGGTGCTTCGAGAAATCGGATTTTTCTTCCTTCCAGACTGTTTAAGAGTTGCTGCACGAGATGAAAAATTGTAAATTTATAGATTTAAAACTAAAGGGAGTAGATATAAGTTTATAAGTTGAAAATTATTGATATTTAATGTAAAAAATCTGGCAGTTTTTTCCAGTTAAACTATTCAAAAAATCTTTAAGTTTTTTTTAGGTGTGGGAAGAGCTGAATCTCATCTTTTTCAACAAAATAATGAAAAATTTAAAATAAACGCGTGTTTAAATTTTAGACGTCTGACTTGGAATTGAAAAGTTGAGAGCTGATTCTTGCTTCATTTTAGCATCAAAGCAAAAACAAAAACCCAAAAAGTCTCATCAGTAAATAAACATTTTTTTTTGTCATGGGGAAGAAACTGTTAGTAATTTTTCATTGCTTTCGATTTCAAAATTGAAATTCTGCGATATTTTATATCGCTTGAAGCCGTAAACTTTGCAGTAAATTTTTCTGATCAATTAAGTGAAATATAGGATGCTGACTATTATTGTTCCGACTTTCGAAGAAAACGGAATATTTATGCTCAGCGTGGTTTTTTTCAGTCAATTTTCGCCGGTCGAAAAAATAGTTTTCGACAAATTTTTTTAACCCATTGAAGATACCTAAGATTCTTAAGTTCAAATTTGAAAAAATGTTTTACCTCCGATTATTTTTTGTAAAGTTCTGGGGGTTTGAAAACTGCCAAATTGGCCATGTTCTGGACTAAATTATGCGCGTTTTGAAGAAATTATTTATAATGCTGAGCGCGTAACGCGAACTATTTATGCGTGGCGAATTGTCCCGCACAACAAAATCGTGCCAAACTGAATTGAAGCTAGCTACGTGGTCGTATTAATTTCGTACGACTAAAATTTTTACCAAAAGTTGTCCAAAAGGTATAGGTTTTCAATATAAACTCAGGGACAGTCGGAACATGCAGGGATTTGCCCTGATATACGAGCAGTCTTGTTTTGTTTACTATTGGCATTCAAAGAAAGGTAACGAACATTTTGTATTGTTTCAGTGAAATCTGATGAATCGAATAAGATTTGCTGTTCATTTCAATTCTTTTTACTAAAAATTTTTTCTGATCAGTTAAGAGAAACGAATAATGCTGGCGCCTAATCTTCTTCTCGTGGCGGTGAAAAAAATATCGCTTAAGGATTTTTCTTAGAACTTTTTTGGTATTCAGTATTCTCTGAGAAATCAATTGAGATGAGGTCTTCATTTCCTTTCAATTTGCATAATGATTGTCTTTTGAGCTAGGCAAAACAACTAATTTTCGCACCCAAGCTATCTCATCGTTCCTCTAAATATGATGGTAAAAATAAATGCAAAAAATTTTTTCTCACTAATTGCTAGAGTATGTCATTTCCTAGAAAATCCAAATAAGATAAAACAGTGATATCAATTTATTTTGCAAATACTAGTTTGATCTCTCGGTTGAAAATTATAATACTCTCAGTTTTTAATTATGTATCATTTTCTGCAAAAAAGTAATAGATTACGTATAGATGAAATATAGATTACGGAAGCGTTTTTTTTCTACTTCCGAGAAGTTGGTGTACTCTAATGAACCAAATGAATTGCCCTTTTTTGCATGCAATAATTATATCTTTTAGGTGAAATATAAAAAATTTTGCACTATAGTTTTTCATTTGTTTTTCTTCTACAATTGGCGTTGAAATATAAATGATCGAAGCCTAATCAAATAATTCCGAAAAGTTGGTATTCTCTACTGAACTAATTCAGATGTCCGTTTTATCTATTCCGACTTTCGTAACGAATCTAACAGAATATTTGTGCTCGTCGTGGTCTTTTTTTTGCTTCAAACAAATTTCGACTTTTTAACCAACAAATTTTGACGGAATTTTTTTTACTTTATTCAAACGCTTCTGTTGTCCTAAGCTCAAATTTGAAAAGATATTTCACATGCGATAATTTTATGGGGGCTTAAAGTTATGGGGGTTTAAAGTTATGGGGGTTTAAAGTTATGGGGGTTTAAAGTTATGGTGGCTTAAAGATGGCCATTTTGGCCAATTTGGGACAATTAACGCGCGATATATTTCGCGCTACTAACGCGTAAGCGGAAGTTTAATCCGTCTTAGAAATCGTTTCAATTTGGTTGAAGGAAGCTTATTTGCCATCATTGATTTGTTACTAGGAGCAAAATCTATCACTTTGTGTTTTATATGTCGTCTGGGGGATGATTTTAACAAAAAATCTCATATTTGAAAAAAATATATATTTTCTTTTCTTTACAATTAATTTTTCCTGTGTTTACTGCTCCATAGACCTTAAAAAGCAGTCGAAACATTCAGAACTTTGCCCTGATACGAGCAGTCTGCTTTTAATTTGCAATCTGCAGAACTGGTCCGTTAGTTGGAATGTCCATTGGTCGAATTTAACTTTCCCTCTTTTTAGCATTTTCTCTCTGAAAGTAAAAGATCAAGAGTTTTTTCTACTACTTTCGAGAAGATCTGAGTTTCTGGTAAACCAAGTGAGATGTTCAATTTTTTTTTCATAATCTTATCAAAGACTCAAATCAAGTACAAAAAGAAAGATCTTCAATCCATCTATTATTTTGTTTAGTGTGAAGTATTTTTCTGATCTGTTAGGTGCTATAACCTAGGCGCAAATTTAAATTTTTACTATTTTGTTTCTCTAAAAGTGGTGGCAGTTAAATTTGAACTACGGAAGCTTCTGCTTATACTTGGGAGATCTTAGTTTATTCTTATTCATGTATTCATGTATCTATGTAAAACTGCTAGCAACCACAACTAGATGTTTTGCGATTTAAAATCCATTATCTGGAAATTTAATTAATAATGAACCAAAGTTGAACCGAAAACCTTAAAGTGCAATCAAAGCAATCAAGTTTTACTCTGAACACAATAAACGTTTAGCCGACTTTTGAATAATAGAATGGTTATGCTCGAGGAGTAGTTTTTTAATCGAACCAGTTTTGTCAATCAAAATTATAAATTTCAATTACAAAAAATTCTGACTTCATGAGATGAACAAAAATTTCACCTGAAAAACTGTTTTCTAAAATTTGTTGGGCTTTGAAAATTGCCAATTTTGTCAAATTCTTGGACCAATTAACCTGGCATGATCAACGCATGGAAATTTAAGTGCCTCAAAAGTGTGTTTTATCGACGAATAAAATTTTTCGCATTGCCGCAAAAGTTTCCAAAGTTACCGCAAAACAATAACATTTAGCACTTAATGTCGGATGTGTGCGTGAAAAAAATCAATATAAAATCAAAATTTCCCTGAAAATAATTATCCGAGACTCGTTAAGAGCATTTGGATTCTAATTGAAAGGTAGAATATATGATCTGTGCATTTTTTTCCATGCAAGGGCCAAATTATAACTATTTATTGTTTATTATTGGCCGTCGACACAAAAACAAAAAAAAACTATTTAGGAAAATCATAGATCAAGAAACCACAAACCACCGTGTCATGCTAGATGGGCTGCCACAATCAAGGATTTGACCTAATGTCGGCAGTATCTTTACTTTGTTTCTTGGAATGCAATATGTACACCTATTAGCAAAAGTAAACAAGGATAGCTGGTTACTTTGCAAGTAGCACAGAATGGTCCGACCACAGTCTTAGGAAAACACAAAACAAAAGTTTTTTTTCAAATTGGTGTCAAGATAAAAAGATCCGAACAAAAAACTAGGACTTAAATTGAAAAACTATTTAAGAAGAAAGTTGACTACAAAAACAAAAAAAAATCATTTTTTTTCAAATTTTTTTGCGGATAACAAAATTCTTTCATATTTTTCAATAGGTCGGAACAACAAGAAGAGCCGGGCGCTGTGCACGTAGCACAGATTGTTCAACCACATTTGTTGCAAAAGACTATATATTAATTTAAAAAATTCAATTTAGTGTAGTTTGCTTTTCGTAGTTCGTGTGATGAATTTTTTACACAAACAAGTATTAAACTAGCAAGTTAGGCAAAATAGACTTCGGTTGTCTTCAAAAACATAAAACCAAACAATCGTTTTTTTCTATTCTTTTATATTTTTTGCAGTAATGTTTTTTTTTTTTTTTGCCAAGAAAGTTTTAAATGAAGCTTCCAAAACTAGTTTTAAATAAATAAATTTAAATTTTTTGTTTTAGTTGACCAATTTTTATGATTTTTTGTATAACGAATGCTACTCGATCGTGTTACTTGCTCTAACTTGGAATAAACCTCAAAAATGTCATACCAATTATTCTCGACATTATTGGAAATTTTTGAAAGGTTGTTCGATTTGCTATTGAAAAGGCTGTTTGAGGTATTTAATTTTGCGTCGAAAACCGAAGAAAGAGAGAAACAAAACTAAAAGACACCCGAATTCAAACTTCTTCCACATTTTTCATGGTCAGACAATTATTTTGAACAACTAAAAAGTTGGTACTGTTCATATACGATATAAACTTATCATTTTTCCTGTGACCAAATGCTCTAAGTAGAACCATATCACTCTCAAAATGTTACAAATGCAAAGCAATTTAGCTTAGCAGTTTTTTCGCTTAGAACCAAGCAGCCTCTATTCATAAAAAACGAAGGAGCCGGTAGATTCTAAAAATTAGTTTTTGTACATTTTGTTTCTTAAAGGAAAGTGGCAAGTTGTTCACTTTATTATACTTAATCATTACGAGTCTAATTGATAGTGAATTGCAATGGGATTCCGCAGTAAGCTAAAAAAAAATTGTCGTGGAATCCGCAACAAAGCTATTTTGTTTTAATCTTCTGTGCTGTTTTGGGTTCCGCAAGCAACAGTAAAAACACTGTATTGCTAAAAGTAGATCCGAAAACACGCAAAAATTGCGGAATCCGCAACAAAATTAGGGGAATCCGCGACAAAATTTGTGGAGTACGCAACAAAAACTGCGGAATCCGGAACAGTTTTTGGAATCCATAAACAAACAATGTTATGAGCTTAGTAATTTTAAGATTTCAAGATAATGCGAAATCTGCATCTGTAAGTGAAACACACAAGTTGAAGGGGATTCCGCATAAGATTATAGAATCCACTTACATTTGCAAAACCATTTTACTTTTACGGAATCCGGAACAACTAGCTATATTATCTCTTTGCAAAATTCCGCAATAAAACTAATTTGCCGACAAAACTTGTGTACCAAATGTTTGGGCGCGGAGTCCACGGAACTTTTGAAAGTGGAACCCACTTACATTTTGAATCATGTTTGAAGACTTGTCTTTGCGTTCCAGTGATCTACAGACACCAAAATGTGCTCCTATCCAGTGCACAGTTTGGCATCGTAATGCTACTACAGCGCTGATTTAATTTCACCGAACGCAACGAACAAAACTTGGAACTTCAATGGATTTTTTCTGAAATTGGGTTAAATTTAAATTGAGTTTGACCGGAAATTTTTAGTGCTTTTTTTGAAGTTTGCAGCCAAAATCTTTCTCTAAAAATGCATAGCTTTGGCTTTTCTTACTTAATCAAGAGTTTCACTGAAATTACCGAGTAAATTGATGAGAAAATATATTAAAAGAGGCCTGTTACGCAGCCCAACAAAGTCTTAGAAAATTTGCCCAAAACGTTTGAAATTTTTTTTTTCTAAGCCCAAACTTTACTATGCAGTAAAAATTTCTCTGAGTAAAATTTCTCGTTTTTAGCTATCAATTAGGAATATTTTTTATATACAGATTTTTGCAGAAATTAACCTGCTGAAATTTTTTCGGGCTGTGTAAGACGCTTCGATTGAGGTATTTTTTTCATCAATTAACTCGTATCAGCATAATTCTTGATGAAAAAAAAACACAAAATGACCCATTTTTGGACAAAAAATTAGGATGCGGGTTTTAAAAATTAAATTGCACCATAATAAATCTGAAACACTGAGCAAACTTTTGTCTAATCTTAAATCAATTTCAGAAAAAGCCTCCCGGTTAATTTATAGCAGGGTATTTTAAAAAACATTTTAAGAATTGATCGTTAAAACAATTAAATTATCCTAAAATTTAGACTTTGATTTACTTATTTTTCCTAATTCCGGTTGAAATAAAAAACTGTGAATTTAATTTTTTAATTTTTTTAAATTTAATTTTTTTCGCGACTTTCTATGACGTGTTTTATTGTGCTAGATTTTTGATGAAAAACTTCTCCAAGTTTATAGTTCGTCTAATAGAGTGATCGAAAACCAATTGCACTCAATTGAAACTAGCTTTTACATAATAATCCATATAATCCCCATATATTCTAAGTTGGCGCTGAAACATAGATTGCAGATGCATTATTTCTGTGAGATTTGATGATCAAACGTTCAAACATTTATGCAATTTCAATTTGTAATATATTGGTCTGATTAGTTAGGGCAAACCATTGCATGTCCATAATGCTTGTAGGATCTGTGCTTCTAACACTTTTTCCCAGATTTAGACTGATAGTTTTACCTTGAGAATTGCATGCAGTGTAGTGAATGTGATTGAGTAGAACGTAGCTCGGTATTGACAATTCAAAACGATAAGCAGAACAGTAAACAAACATTCAAGTCCAAAATAGGCTCAAATCTTCAAATATATAGTCCCTCCAGTAGCTGAAAACCCAAGTGGAGTAAGATCGGCGGGTTCCATCCCCGGCCCCGAAATGGAAACTAAGGAAGCTGGCTTTGTGAAACTCGGAGGACGGATACTAGAGATGATTTGACCCGGGCATGCCAAAATCTAGACCCCTCGGAACCCACGGCCCCAAGTGGTAACGGTTCCCGGAAGTGCAAATAGCAGTAATAGAATTCGGCAACCAGCGGTTTGAATGGAACCAAAATATAATATGTATTAGACCTAGTTGAAGGAAGCTCAAGTTCAGAATCCCAGAAACCATAAGATAACTTGGAAAATATTATGGATGAAAGCTTGGTAGCAGGACCTCTATGGGATTTTAAACCTGAATATGGAAGATTGAACCCCGGGTGACCTTGGAGTTACCTTTAAATCTTCTTTGGGCATTCAGGACTAAAATTTCATAGAAAACCTTTGGATTAACACCGGAAAGTGTCGTATTCCGCAGCCCAACCCCCTAGGATTGAGAATTGATCATCTTAGTTGTAATTGGGAGGGATTTTTACCTATTGAAAATAAAGCAGAAGCAAAAAAGGATATAGCTTTTACATTATAGCATCGAAGTAGTAGAATTACTTGGACATAGCAAACATTGGGTTCTACTTAACTTGGCGAAGGAGCTATCAATGGAACTTGAATCAGGCTAAAAAAAAGTAGTCCCAGTGAAAATTAGTGGTAATAGGAGCATAGCATTGAATTAGGTCTCCTAAATAACTTGAATGGACGGGATATATACCCAGCTCCCCGAGGGTGACTATTTGGTACAATTTGACACCTAATAAGGGAATTACGTTCCTCGGATAGCTAGATAGTTCGTGATTTGAG